TGCAAGATTATGCGTGCGCGTGCTACCATCGATGAAGTACATTTTGTGAGAAAAATTTATACAACAAGTTTGTCCCTGATCATGTAATACGTATATAATATTTTTGGAAAAGTCACAGATACGAAAAAGTAGTGATGTAATCTTTTGTTTTGTTTGCAGAATATTCGAAAAATTTCTTACTAAAATGTATGATGAAAAATGTAGGTGGAAAAGATGACAAAGGGGACGTCGGAGACGACAAAGCAAAGCATGTCCGCGATGCGTGTTTCCCCCTTACGATATCAGAACGATTCGTCTTCGTCCAATCCGCTGTATTCCCCGCACATGGAACAAAGTTCAGACTATACCGAGAGCCGATACGCGACTAAATCATTTTAACGATGTATCTTGTGTAAGTTGCTTGTGTAATTGGATCGACGAAACGACCAGATCGATTGAGTAAAGGTAAAGCCGTAGCGAATTATTAATCATTAGGTGGATCGAGTAGTAATTTTCATCGATCGAATACTCTGCACCGAGCTTCAAGAGCCAAATTTCGTCAAAAGGAAACACGGAAGAAGACAAGCAAGGGTGGGAAGAGTCGAAGGAAGAAAGGAAGTGTGTGAGAGCAAGAAACGAAAACGAAAGAGGGAAAGGAAGGAAGGATTTCAAAATGCGGACTTATCAATCAAGGATATTTTTTGAAATAGAGTCAATTTCGAGTTAGTAGAATTACTAGCTAATTTATTTTATCTCATGCATTCGTATTGATAGCGAAATAAAAAGAAGGGAAAGAATCGATGTGTGGCTTATTAGAAAATCAGTGGATATTTCTCGACCGATGAGATTCTTCGTGGAAGAATATTCAAGGGATAAATGTATGAAAGAAAAAAATTTATAGGAAATCATTTGTAAGTGAGATTATATTAATATCCGTAAAAAAGAAAAAATATATTGGCACGATGCGTTTAATTCAACACCTGGTGTTGTTTTCTCTTCTCTTACTGGATAATCAAGTGAAAGCCATTTGGCCCAAAGTCCCAAATCCCTTTCCTTACATTTGGTGGGGATATAATCCACGATCAAGTAGCTCGACATCTTCGAGTTCCTCTTCCTCTGAAGAGCATTGCGCCGAATGTACACAAAATAAAATCGGTCTGTTAACTGCTACCGATCCGATTTTAACGGAGCTAAGAGTCGAATATGTCAAACAGCAAATCCTCAAGAAGTTGCGGCTTTCCAAACCACCCGAGATATCGATGCCGCTCTCGACCTTGCCGAAGCCTCTGATAAATGGTCGTGTACTCGAACTTCGACCCGGAGCACCACTCGAACCGGAAAAATCAGTGGATAGCTTTTATGGAAAAACTGATCAGATCGTCGTTTTCCCAAATGAAGGTCAGTCTCTATGAAATTAAGCGATGCCTTTCATATTAAAAAAAAAAAAAGAAAAGAAGATATTATATTTAAAAGTCTAATATGTTAAAAGAAAGTATTAGGTATATTTAATCTTACGTTTAAATGAATTCTAAGGCTGCAGATATTTATTACAAATTCATGTCTTTATGACTTGAATCACATTATAAAATATAATTAATATAGAAATAGAGCTTATTTATTTCTGTAAATATTATAGTGACTATAATACTTAGTTTTATTTTGAATGTATTATGTACATTATGTATATGTATTATTATCAGCATATACATTTTGTACATTTTTGACACATTTATATTTCCCACGAACAAATAAACAACCGCGATTTATTAATTATTCGATTACTTCACATTTTTACATTTGTCGAGATCCAAGGCATCCGATAAATTTTTATACGGTAATTAAGAATTTTACGTTTATATTGCTTCGATAAGATGTTTACACGTGACGTCAAGTGATGACGATTCAGTGACATTAGACCTTTTCTTCTGCATTTCACTGTTGCAAATATTTTTCCAACCTTATCCTTAACATTTTTAAATCAGTGAAATGTCATTAACGTCACTAATATATACAACAGAATCGTATTAAATAATACAATAAGATTTCAAAATTAATATTTCTCTCTTTTGTTTGTACTTGGAAAGCTAAAGTTGTTAAAATGTATTTTAACTATACAGAATGTCCAAAAGTTTAAGAGTACAATAAGTTCAATGTGTTTTAAGAGTAAAATATTATATAGTAAAAAGTCTATAAATACTTCATTATATGCTAATATAACACACATGTAATTTCACATATTTTTCTATATAGATGTACTTTCACGAACAATGTATCAATACCTATATATCATTTTATACTAATAACTTTTAGTATAATGATTTTGTAGTTTACTTGTATTATGAGATTAGATTTAAAATTATTATTATATTTACAATATATTATTATATTATATACTATAAATACAATAATATATATTACAAACACATTATCATATAACAGTTATATAATAAAGTTCAGGAACAGTAGGAAATCAATAAGAGATTTATAGTACGCGCTTTTGGTATTACATTATTACATACACGCATGGAGAGTCATTTCTTTCATTTCTTTTTTTTTTTTTTTTTATATAGATACCAGAAATATTCGATTACAAGTAAATGAGAGGACTGTCATTTGCGCAACGATATTTCACAACAAACTTATGTTAGTAATTTAAATACGAATGAACCGTTGAACCGTTTCAGGTATTGCCAATTCGAAGCAATGCCAACAGAAATCGAACCATTTGACGGGTTTCAATCCGGCAGCCTGTTTCACATTTTATCTACCGAACGAAATGCGATTCGTGGATGTGACTTCGGCGCAACTTTGGTTTTACAAGGAGTACGATGAGAACGACGATTTAAATCAAACTTTTGTGCTCTCTGAACTCGACCATTGGGATTTGAGTGGAAATTTTGAAAAGAATATGATTATGGCTATCTTCGAAACCGATATTGGAGGTAAGTAAATCGAAATACGCTCATCCCTAGGGAGAAAAATCAGTATCAGTTATAAAAATATTTACTTATAACAATAATAAATTTTATATACAATAATAAATAATAAGTGTATGTAAGTACATATAATATAACTGTTATAACTTCGTGAAAAAAAAAAGAAGTAATAATACTTGATTTTATTATAAAACGTGAAGCATCTATTTCATCTAGTTTTTCGTTTTTCTCGAAAATATTTTTGAGATGACATAGCGGGTGGTAAAGTAAGAGTAAAATGTTGTAAAAATTCAAATGTTTCTGAAAACAACTGAAAAAACTTTTTTCACGACTAGATCCACCATGATGAATGTTGAAGATTTTCTCCCTACAACGATTCCTTAATCCTTTGAGTGTTTAGTTTGTATTAAATTGTCGACAGATAAATTTGAAATGGTTAAAATAATTAACTTTAGTTTAGTTAGAGGTTCAAAGAAGATAACATATTATATAACGTTATATATGTTATAAAGATGAGTGCATTCTTCAATTTTATTTTATTTTATTTTTGTTATTTCAATTTGTTATCCGTGTTCCCTTTCAAACTTTTGCGAATTAATAAGCATTCGAAGGATTAACACTTACTGTACTGATTCTTTTCATCACTTTATTGAACTTAGTTGGACGACGAAATGTTTTCTTCGACTTCTCTCGTTTAACTCTACAGACATTTTCTGATCGTGTAGAATGATACCACGTATGAAAGATCCGCGATTTCTTTTTATTTTAGTAGGTTTATCTACATTTGTTATATCATTCTTTAGTATATCTTTCATGTTTTTATTTCTTACATGAGTCATATCGAATCAATTTGATTGCACTTCACATTTTGCCTCTGCCATGTATTATTATTATGATAAACTTCCTATTCTTCTCTTTTCTTTATCTTCAATCTTTCCTTCTGTATTTACACATTATTTTGCAATCTTGTCACATTTACGTTGTTCACAGTTTCTTGTTTTATAACTTAGTACTTTAACCCATTGAAGGCCAACTGCGCAATAATTTATTATAATGTTATAAATACTTCAATTCGTTTAAAGTTATTTCAATTTCTTTATATGAATTATTTACTTTATAACATTATGAAATTTAAATGGAAAAGATAATAATAAAAAAAAAATCAAGTACATCCTTAGAATAATTTGTTAATTGATTAATTGATTAATAAATAATAATAAATGATAGCAAATAAAATATTGTATTAGTGTAGGTATGTGTTAACATTGGTTTGCTTATCGTCTTTTAATCAAAAACTACTATAATATAATTATGAAATAAAAAATCAATAAGAACAAAATTAATTTTAGCTAGTTTTTAATCCTTGTAAATATAAACAAAATGGTTACATATACAAAGTATTCTGTTTAACTTCTGAATGTTTAAATTCTGAAAATGATAAGAATATCTTAAGGGGTATTAAAATTGCCAAAAAGATGCTTTAACAAAAGTTGTTTAATTCGAAGGAAGATATGGATATGATGCAGATGATTTATTATATGAAAGACA